CTTAAGGGGTAAACAAATTCTATTAGTCAAGTTAGTAGTCAGGTTTCCCGAATTGTGTAGCTCTCAGAGAACAGCTGTAAAATATCAAAGTACTAACAGTGCCATGTTGCGCATGGATGGTGTTCCTGCTCATACATTTGGTGTGCATTGTCGAGGCCACATTTGGAGCCCTTTGTTATGGATTAGGGTTTATTAATAGTTACGGATTAGGGTTTAATAATAGTAACAAAGCAATTGCTTGGACTATTAAATAGTGTACTGAGTACTATCTATGCTTTAAGTCAATTGATTTAACAAATTTAAAAATAACTTAAGTACTAAAAACATAAAAATACAAGAAACCATCGTCATTACCAAGTTGTTTAAACCTATTATTCTGTAATACTCGTGGTTTTCAAAGTAACTTTTCTTCTGTTGACTCTTATCTCTTGCAAAGTTCACCAGACCTACTTGCTCCTTGTGAGACTAATTTGAGTTCAGCTGTCTCATCTTGTGATCTTAGTGTTGATCCTTATCTTCCTTAAATTCGTAAAGACTCCAATAGTCACATGCTTGGCCTGGGCATTTACATTTGTAAGATATCACCCATTTGCCGGGAAACTAGGTTTGAATCCACCATCTATCTTTTTATGTGCTTTCCTTTAGCACTACATCACTCTATTGCCTTTCTCTTTGTTCTATATTGCTCTCCTTCATCTCAAGACTGCACTCTTTTCAATGTTATTTCCGATCAAATTGTTATTATCAATGTTATTTCTGATCAGACAATAAATATTGTTGTTGTTGGTGACTTGGCTCTATTGATAGTGACTCTGCAGATATTAAGGCCCACAACTTTTGCCTTTCTCAATCTTTAACTCAAGTAGTCAACTTTCCAACTCATTTTACTTACTACCAGAACCATTTACCTTCTCTACTCAACTTATGTCTTGTTTCTGATCCTAGTCAGTGCTCAGTTTCTCTACATTTACCCTTAGGTGCTTCTGATCACAGTTTGTTCTATCTGATGTAGCCAAAAAATATCATTCCTGCTTAGACTCTTCTATAGCTTGTGATCCAGGCAACATACCTGTTATATTCTTGCAGAAGTGTTCTCTGAATCTGATGTCCATACTTTTAAAACTATTTAACAAGTGCTTATCAGTCTTGTTTTCCAGCCTGCTGGAAAGTGGCATCTTTTATCCCTATTTTCTAAAATTCTGGAGAGCAATCTGACTTGTCTAACTACTGTCCCATTAGTCTTCTTCCTATCATAAGCATGGTTTTTGAATCTTTAATTAACAATGCTTAGTTTCTTATCTATAATTATTCTATTTAATTATAGATAAGAAATAAAGATTCTAATTAATCTAATAATTTACTTTTCAATCATCAATATGGATTTGGATCTTCTTGTTCTACAATCAATATACTAACACTAATAACCAACAGGTTTTATTTTGCATTAGATAGAGGTGGAAAGGTAAGGGTCTTTGTCCTTGACGGATAGCACTCTTATAGTTCTATCCTTAGTTTTATGCTCTTTTTGATCTGCCAGAAATTCTTACACCTTAGGTGGCATTGTTTGCTGATTATACTACCATTTATTCTTGTCATGATAAAAAACCAACATTCTCTGATTGCTTAGAGGGAGCATTTAAGCTTGATAAGGATCTCATTTCTGCTATAGCCTGGGGCTCACTGGCTGGTAAACTTTAATTCAGATAAAACTTAATTTTTTTTCAGCCAATTGTTATCACAATTATTTAAATTTTCCTATATTTGTGAAGGGTAGGTAATGTACTCGATGAGTCATCAACTCTTCTTCTAGGATTAACTCTTACCTCCTATCTTTCTTGAAAACCATATATCAAATCCATTGCAAAATTAGCATCTGCTAAGGTTGGATCTTTTTATTGTACTCAACATTTTCTTACTTGGGATTCTTTTCTTTATCTCTATAAATCTCAAATTCGTTCTTGTATGGAATACTGTTGCCATATCTGGGATGGATCTTCTAATGATGCCCTTTCTCTTTTAGACAAGGTGCGAAAACACATTTTAACATAGTTGGACTTGCTCTTGCAGCCAACCTCCAATCATTATCACATCTTCGTTAAATTCCTTATCTTTCTTTTTCCTATAAACTGCTCCTAAGATCTAGTTTCTCTCGTGCCAACGACAAACTAAAGTTTATTCTTGCGTTACTCGTCGTTCAACGAAGTCTCATCCTTTTACTGTGACTTTTCCTAAATGCTCCAAAAACTCTTATTTGTCTAGTTTTTTTCCTTGAACATCAGTTCTTTGGAATTTGCTTTCTTTATCTTGCTTTTCTGATTCATATAATTTGCAATCTTTTAAGTTGTCTGTCAATCGTTATCTTGCTTTATAAACTTCATCTTTTCTTTACCAGAAACCTACAACTCTACCAAAAAAACTCTACCAGAAACCTACAATAGTGGTTGTTTGCAGCCATGTTAAAAGTGAAAAAGAAAAAAGATAAAAACAATAAGAACTTTTAATCTTATCTAACAAATGTTGTTTGTTTGTTTTTTTTCAAAACTTTCCTTAGAACTATTACCCATTTTCATATTTTTCTTTTATATACAACTTTCAACTTTTTAAAGTCTTAAGTTAACTATTTTCCTAGCTTTTTAACTTATAACTTGTTGCTTGTAACTTTGCTGAAAGTAAATAACTCTTTAAAGTTAATAAAATAAATTTAAAATTTAAAATAAATCTTATATAAATATATATAAATATATAAAAGTTATATAAGTATATGCCAGTATTTAAAAAATAGTAGATGTAAGTATAAAATTTTATATATAAATTATTATAAATTTTTTTCTAGTCTCGGCTATCAAACCCTGATAAATCTTTTATTTTTGCATAGCTTTATGTTACAACATGAGTATTAAATTAAATTTTTTGCATTGTCATTTTTCTTGCCAGCTTTCAAATTATGTTTCAAATTTTAAAATATGTTTTATGATGCAGGATTTTTTGATGCTTTAAATAAAACACTTTCAGGTATTGTAAAAACTACAAATTTAGGGATGTTTATGTCAAATAAATAATTTTTATTTTTTTATTTTTTGTCATTGGAACCTGGGAACAAAAATGCCTAAAAATGTTTGCCTTACCTATACAATTTTTGAGGGAAATAGTGAAATATTTTATATTGTTATCTAAATTTCAGGTTTCATCTAATAGTCTTTTAATGCTTTAAAGTTATGGCATTTTCAACATCTCCAATATGAAGGAGTTGTAATTTTGTTCTTAACTTTGTTCTCAAATCACTAAAAAAATTTTGCAAAACATTTTCAGTTGACATAATTATTAGCATACTAAAATTTGTAGTTTTCAGAATGTTGTTTCTAAACCATCAATATAATCTTTGTCCCTTCCTGTAAGTCAACAAAACTTGTGTTTCCCAGTGTAGTTTTTACTTCATAAAACTTAATCATAAATAATATGATATAGTTTTATAAAAGTATTTATATTACATTTTTTTTTTTTTATTATTCTCTTTTATTAATTTATCTTTAAATGTTTTTTGATTTTTTTTATCTAATTTTTTATTTTATTTTAATCATTAAAATTGTATTTAAACTAAAATATTAAATTTAAAATTGTTCATGTTTTAATGTTTAAATTTAATAAATGTGTTAGCTTATGATTTTTTTAGATGCCAGCAATAACAAGGACAGATTCATTTCCTGATAAAGGAAGGTAATTTTTATTTAATGATTCAACCCTCGGAATTAGGGTCGGCATTCGGCAATGCTGACCTAACTGCCGACCTGAAAGTGCTTGTCCATAAAATATAGAAATGAGGTCGGCAAAAAATTGCCGACCTTGTTTCTATATTTTATGGTCAGACCTTTGTATCAAATAATTTTTGCTGACCTAATGCCGACCTCAAAAAGATTGATGTCGGCAAATTATTGCCAACTTCATTTTTCCTAATTCCAAGGGTTGATGATTTAATAGCTATATATATATATATATATATATATATATATATATATATATATATATATATATATATATATATATATATATATATATATATATATATATATATATATATATATATAATATATATATAATATATATATAATATATATAATATATATATAAATCATGGGTTTTTTTTTTAGATTTCAGTTCAACTTAAATTTTAAGGAAGATTTAAGAAAGCCAACAAAATCTTGTCTTTATACATACTCCCATCGTTTAAATAAACTTTACGTGCAGCCAAATCACATAATAGAAATCCCATTCACTTCATTTTATCTTGATACTAAAAAAAATTGGAATATACAGAGTTTTTTAATATTCAAAAGTATTGTTCATAGAAATGAAGTGGTAATGAGATGTCCAAACCACCTTGAACAAGATAAAAGTAAGTTATTGCTTTTATTTGGTTAGTAATTGACAATGTCAAGTAATCATTTTTATAATAGGTATTGAATTATAATAACAATAAAAATATAATAAAATAACAATACATGATATTGACCCAAGAATCTTTGCAATAATACGATAAACTAGCTGTCATGACTTGTAAAATACGGGTCTTGGTAAATCTATTCTTCACCAACCTTTTCTATACTTATTCCTTACTTCAATATGTTTTAGTAAGCAGTAGAAAAATAATTATATACATATATAAAAACTAAACTTATTGTTTACTTTTAAAAGCTATAAAATAAATTTTCTATTATAATTAACTTTATTAAATTATACGGTGGAGATTGTGTGAATCGCTATTTATCAACGAATTGGATATCAGTACCAGTCTAAATAATATTTAGAATACCCGCTTGAAATGTGTCAATTACCATTGGTATAAAAAGTTTTAAAAAACATGAGATGACTTAAATATGTGGAATAACGAAGTTACCATGACCCATTTAATTATTACTGAATATTAATATTACTGGTCATGGTAAGTCTGTTCCACAATTACCATTGCTTTATTTTAATAATTTTTAAAAAAGATCAAAATGTAAAAATCTTTGTTTTGAGTTAACGATTAACTTTTAATAATTTACAATTTCTGAAAACTATTATTAAAAAAAACAATAATAATAAAACAGGAATGGTCCTTATTATTTTTTTCTTTAATAAATTTCTATTAATTTTTTTCAGGCCATCTGCAGCTTATAAGGACTCTTTTCCTGTTAATTTCAAAGAAAATTATAGTTTTCACGCAAAATCTTTTTTTTTTAAGAAAGTTGACTCTTTAATGCATACACTTAATCTATTTACTAAGCACAATAAAATCACTACTAATATACTAATAATTACTAAGCACATTAAAACCTTAAAATCTATCATGACATATGCACAACAAATTTCTAACGTTCCCCTTTTTTATAGAAATTTTAAAAATCTTTTTAAAAAATTCTCTCCTTTTCATTTGTTGTGTAAATAAAAATATCTTTAATTTTACAAAACTATTAGGCATTTTTTTGAAACCACAATCTGTCATGATTTGTATTTTATGAGATGCGGGCCTTCTTTTTGATCTGCAACAAGCTGAAAAATCATTGTAAGATATGTCTAACATGAAAAAAAAGAAAATAAATTAATTAAGACATGATAAAAGAAGTAAAAACATTAAAGATGAACACTACAAACCAATTTACCTGTTGCTAATGCTTTTTTTAGAGCATTGTTAAAAATAGTCAAAATGGGTCAGGGTAACAATATCAGTTTTTGCCATGCCTAATGATATCTGTCCAACAACATCTGTAAATATAATGAGGTATAATAACATCTATCCAACAACATCTGAAATTTCATTGATGTCTAATAACATAAGTCCAACAACATCTGAAATTTTATTAGTATTTACTAACATCTGTGCAAAAATTAAAAGAATATTACAGATTACATCTTAAAAATTGTCAAATAAGATCTGTGTAACTACATCTGTAGATTCTACAGATGTAGTTACATATTTTGTATTATGAAAGTGTAATGACGCCTATGCAACTACATCTTTGAATTTTACATTTTTAAATTGTCAAAGTGTAATAACATCTGTGCAACTACATCTGTGGATTTCAAGTTGAAGTTATTTTTAAGATAAATTAACTAATGATGCATTATTTTAACCAGGTGTACTTACATATATAATTTTTTTCAGATGTAACTACATTTGGATAAAATTCTTCCAGATGTTATTGGGTTTAGAGAAAAATTACCAGATGTAGTTACATCTTTCTAAATTTTTCAAATTAAGAAAGATGTAACTACATTTCTATATTTGTTCAAATGCTGAACAAATTAAAATTATTTAAAGAAGTTTTGTCGTTAATTTCGTCAACACATTCAAGTTGTTTATAAAGTTTTGAGTTATCTATTTATAAATTCTTAAAAATTCACCTTTTTAGATATTCTTCTATTCTTTTTATAATTCTAAATTTTTTTAAATAAAATTTTGTTAACAAATTATAAACTTGATAAAGTTTGCCTAATTTTATTTGATAAGTCTTAAATGGCTCTTAATTTTGGATACAATGTTTGCATTTTTTTATATTTATTGATTAGTTATTTTCATTTTAATTTTTTTATTCTTTTTAGACACAGAAAAAAAACATTTTGTTTTGCAATGCCAGGAACCAAATACAGAATTTTTCGTACCTAAGAAGCTAATCTTTCCAGGCACAAAACATTATATTAACATTTTGCCGATTCCAGGAAACATATTACCTAATGAAGAAAACTCTTTTTCATTGAAATTTATTTTTGCTTGTTCAAGTGTATGTCAAGGTGGGATAAACAGGCGACCGTTAATTCTGGTTTTCAATCTATGTGAAAGGTAGTTGTCATTTAAATATTACAATATTTAACTTTTAGGAAAAGGATCAAGTTCATGATCACTTTGTTTCAGTGACTCTACATTTTGTGTCAGTGACTCTACAGTGACTCTACAGGCATAACTGCTCAAATATCAGTGACTCTGCAGTGACTTTGCTACTTGTAAAATGTAATCCTGTACAATTTGCTACATGTCATTCAGGACTTGCTTTTTTAGAAAATTGCTAGGGAAAGTTATCACTGACTTACAATACTCTACTATTGTATACTCTACTATTGTAATACACTACCATTGTATCTCTTGGTTGGGTAAAGATTAGAGATGTCATAAAGATACTTACTTAGGCTGATGCAAACTTTGTCTGGCTACAGTTTTGTATAAGACATTCTGGGGCCTTATACAAAACAGTATTCTTCTTGGGCCTTATAGCCAAAGAAACAAAAAAGTAATCTTCTAGGACCAACATAGTTTAGTCTGGTGTTATATTGTTTCCTGAATGATAAATTTTGGATCTTCTTGAATCTACCCTATGTTTTTATTTGTGTAAGACCACGTGAGTGTTATATTTTTAATGAGTGTTAGACCATGCATTTGTAAATATAGTTGAGGTTTGTTTTCTAACTAACTGTGATAAAGGCCATCTATTATCTGTTTTTATTTTTGCATTAAATGCATTTAATACTGTTAAGATATTACTTTTAGTAATTTTTTTTACTTAACATGGTACTTAAAAAAGTTGAATTAAAAAAGTAAAAGTGAAAATGCAAGTATTACAATATTTAAAGCATTTTAATTAGTTATAGACAACTATTTAATAGGTTCATACTGACGATAAAACACACATGTTTTTCTTTAAAGAGTATTGAATTACTTTCTTTTTTGTAATTGTAAAACAGCAATAAAACAATGCTGAAAAGTTGTTTTGATAATATTATATATAAGAGCTTGTGACACAAGCTCTTTATACTGTTTTAGGTTAACACAAGTTATGTTAACCTAAAGCAACTTTGTGACGCTGTTTTATACTGTTTATAATAATAATAAAATAAAATGTGTTTAAAATAAAACAAAGTAATTAAATAGTTCTAATTATTAAATTAAATTATTATCGTCATAAAACTTTAAACTTCATATTTGCTCAAAAACATGTTATATCTATAGGCTAAACAATTAAGATCAAAGCAAAAAAATATTAGATTTTTTTTTAATTTATTGCTTCTTGATCTAGCGTACTATCAAAACTTGGCACAATTAATTTTTTTTATTCAAATAATTTTTAAGTTAATGTTATCATTCAAATATTTTGTATTAAAAAATGAGAGGAAAAAACCTGGTTTAGTAAATCAAATTATATTTCTTTTAGTATATGCTTAAATTATTCTTTTGGGAAAATATTTTTGGTTTAATGTTTGCAACAATCAATGGTTTAATGTTTGCGATCAAAAGTTTCTACTTTTAAAACTATTTAAAGAAGAAAAAGAAAATTAACTATTCACAAAAAACTATTCAAAATGTTTACGGTTTAAGTAAAATTTTCTTCCTTAGTTGCACTGTTTTAAATCTGATATTGTTACACTTAACTTTCAGGAATGGTCCTCGCTATACCACTGGGTATTACAGACGTTGCTGCAATTAAATTTATAATTATTGACAGTTAAATTCATTTAAATATTTTCAATTTTTCTTTTTAATTTCAAATTTTTTAATTTCAATTGCAAAATTATTTGAATAAAATTATTTTAGAAGACTAAAATTCTTTTGTTCAAAATTCTTTTTGAAAAGTCCTTAAAACAACTTGCGTATTTATAGAAAATGTTTAATCTTGATATTGCTTTAAAATAAAATAGAAGTTAATTTTAAAATGGTATCGCGATTTTATTATTATTATTATTATGATTAGCCTGTTTACAGCTATTTAAAATCATTGTATAAATACACAACACTTCATGTCTTTTTTATAAACATCTTTTTTCTTTTAAAAGCTTCATGATTTGATTCTTGAATTCCTTCTTGTCAAGCAGTTTAAATTAATTTGGCAATTTGATAATATTATCCCATTGCAAAATATAGACTTTTGTCCACTCTTCTTGTTCTGGTTTTTTAAGTGATAATTATTTGCAATTTTTGTAAAATAATTGTGTACTTTGCTGTATTTAATCTTTGAAGACAATTTCTGTGGTTGTGGATACCTTGCGTAAATATAAATACTTTCATTTGAATACTTTCGTTTCCAGATAGCCAGTTCAATATAGTCAACATATCATTACTATGTGTGAACCAATCACATTTAAAGATTGTTCTTATAACTTTGTTTTGTAACTTTGGTAGCATTTTAATATCATTTTTTGTTTGCGTCAAAGAATTTTTCATATTCTATTGGAGATTGCTTGTTAAAATAATTTTTAGGTAAAGTCTTATTATGTGTTACAACATATAAGATATAAATAGTAACATTTGTATAGCTAACTTTTGTGAGTCTTTGAGTATATTAGGTAAATTAATTAATTAGGTAACTTAGCTGCAATAGTTTAACTGGTTGTTTTGATATAAGTTATTAGTTAGTAAAACTAAATATAACTTCAAAATATTATTGGCTTCTAGTAATTTCGTAATTTAAATTCAAAAGTGCTTTATGTTGAATAAAAATCTCTGCGCAAGAGAGTAAGTGATCATACTTCTATTCAAAAGATAAATTTAGTGTCACGTACCTTATGGCTTCTAATAAAAAAATTAAGCAAAAACAATTCTTTTAAAAGTAAAAGTTTGTAAAAAAAAAAGCTTAATTAGAAAGAAATGAAAACATTTTCGTGAAATTAAAAAAAAAAAAAAAATACTAATCGTAAAGTTTTGAAAAGCAATCACGATTCACAAATGCGATACGCTTAATTCGAGTCCTAATTAATAAACCTATATTATAACTCCTAAATTGCCTAAGCCTTGATTATTTTCTAATTTTAAAAGTATGTATTTGTCATTGCATATTTTTAGCTGGTTAACATTATTTAAATCATTAATAACATTACTTAAATCATTAAATAACATTACTTAAATCATTAATAACATTACTTAAATCATTAAAAACATTATTTAAAACATTATTTAACATTATATAAAGTATTAATAACATAATTTAAATTATAACCTTTAAGGTTAATATTAATTAAATCATTTAAACAATGACTTTCATTTTTTCTATAAAAATATTGCATTCATCTCTATTGTTTAATAGTTGGTGACCAGATGGTAGCTACAAACAGACTGTGGCTACACATGGACAATGGCTGTGACAAACAAACACGAACTATGAACAGATGGTGGCTACAGACAGACAGTGGTTATGAACAGACAGTTGCTACAAACAGATGGTGGCTACAAACAAATTGTGGTTATGAACAGTGGCTATGAACAGACATTGGTTTTATACTATGTATAAAACCAATGTTTGTTGGATAGTAGTTTTTTTAAAGTTAATAGATACCATAAAATAAATCTGTTAGAACCAGCTTTAAAGCATAGGTACTTTTGAGAACCTCATAAATGCACGTTATCCTTCTAACTTTTGTGTTCAAAAACCAAAGATATCTGGCCATGTAACTATAGTAGACTATACTATTGACATCTCTTTCAATATATGCTTTCAATAAAGTCTGGCTAGCTGGTCTTTTCCATAAGATCTTTTTATATGTTGTATGCATCTGTATTTATCAAGTCTCTTTTTTATGTTGTAAATAATCTGAAAAAGTTTCTAAAATTATGATTTCTTTCTAATTGCATTATTAAGCTGTATTTATGGTTTTCTTATGGAATGGCTTTTCAGTTACTTGATTTAAACCCAATCGATATATAGCCAAATTTAAATTCGTTCACAAAAAGCAAGTTTAGTGAATTAGGCAAGAGGTTTATTTGAGCATGAGTATTTGTAAAGAATAAATTGAAGTAATTTGCTGGTAATCACCAGCCTCACACCTCTTCTTCATCTAATCTCATCTTCTTTATTGTCTTGATTGGATGATTTTTTGTTTGTTTAAAATTGATATTGACTCAATCATAGATAGTGAATGTTATAGTTGAGTCAAATAAGATTTTATATTCTATAATTGAGTCAAAAAATATTTTTTTATCAGAGTGATCATGATGATTCTAATCCTGAAATAATTTCCATTACTCAACCAAAAGTTGTAACCCTAACCCTAGGGTAATTTAAGTCCAAGTGTTAACCTGGCTTTTGCATTAAAAAAATTTCATGCTACCAGTAGCAGAGTGATCATGAATTCTGAACTAATCTGTAACTTTATGTAACTTTGAGAATTTCATATAAAGTAGGATAAAAAAAATCAAAAAAATAAATAAATAAATAAAGTATATAAACAAAAAGTACTATTTCTTGTTATGTAATGAGTTATTTTTGTGATTATAGAGCTGATGTGGTAGATCAAATCATGATGGATATTAGTATATGTTCTTGTCCTGGTAGAGACAGAATAAATCAAGAGGAAAAACAAATAAACCGTTTAACCACTGTATGTTTTTTTAAGACGTTTATATAGAATAAAATTTTTTTATTTAAATAATAGTGAGTTATATCCTAGATTTCACAACTTTATGCTTTATATTGAAAAATATTTTTCAACTGTTTTGATCAACTATTAAAGATAAAAATGAAGTTGAAAATGGTTTCTAAGAAATTGTTGTGGTTAAATAAAACAAATGTTAAATCATAAAAATTTTCATGGAAATAGTTAATAGTGAAAAGTAGGGTTTATTTACCAACTTTTTCATTTATTATTTATCAATCAAAGTATTTTATGTCAAAATTAAAACAGTAATCACTTAAACTTAAACTGCACTTAACCCAATTTAACTTTTTTTGTCACTTCCACACACAGAGATAACAACACATTGCAAACCACTGAACCATTGAACTAAACATGATATTTTTAATATAATTTATGTTTTACATAAATATCACCAGCTCGAATTAGAAACAGTATTTTACAACAAGAGATCTACGTAAAAATATTATATTAAAATAATAATAAGAATATTGCGTAGGAAACATATAAATAAAAATGGTTTTGCAATGACTTTCCAATGCAATGTAATTTTTCAAAAAATATGTTAAAAAATGCTGAGCAAGATGTATAAAATGTTGAGTAAAATTTATGACTAAATATTATACTTATTGCATGTTTATTTTTTAACAAATTGTTTTTAACAAAACCTCCCACATAGGTTTTAACAAAACCTACTCCCACCTAGCTTATTGTAGGAGAAAAGTTGATTAGCTAGGGGGAATAGGTACAATGATAAAAGTACAAAGATTGGGCTATTTTAATTGTGGGGATAGCTGGGGATAGTTTTGTGTTAGCACAGATTGGGGGAATGGTTATTAGATTAGGGAGTGGGGTGGGTTTTTCTTTTTATATTTTTTAAAATTTAATTTGTATAGATACATTTATAAGCACACTTTTATATACTGAAAATTAAATATAAATTATTTTGAGGGTAGATTAAATCTTTAATCTGCCCTCAAAATAAATGAGTAAAGATTTAAACAACCATCTAAACTACTGAGAGCACTTCTGTGAAAGTTCTTTAGATAATTGTTGCAAAATATGCAAATTTACTTTAAAGATTTTTTTTTTTTTAGATAATAGATGCTTGCCAAAAACCCAAACCCTTGGTCGATGTAGTAGCACTTCTTTGTGCATGTTTTAAAGTAAAAAAGTAACACTCTATGCATGTTTTATCTATTTGTCAGTCGATGTGGCAACAATCCATGTTTTAAAAGTATTATAAAACAAAAAAAAACAAAAAAATTTCAAAGAACTGATGTTCAAGGAAAAAAACTAGGCGAATAAATATTTTTGGAGTACTTAGGAACACTCATTTGTAAAAGGATGAGGCTAAATTGAATTATGAATAACATGAGAATGAATTTTAGTAGATGGCACAAGAGATGCTAACTCTTTAGAGCAGTGCCCATTTTAGTATTTATAGAAAAGAGAAAGAGAAGCAACATTACGACAATGTGACAATGTTTAGTGGTTAACTGCAAGAACAAGTTCAATCATGTTAACAATGCGTTTTTATAACTTGTCTAAAAGAGAAAGGGCATCATTCGAAGATCCCCTCAGGATATGATGACACTATTATTATACAAGGACAGATTTGAGATTTATAGAGATAAAGAATAGAATCCTGAGTAAGAAAGTGGTTTAAAAATAAAAAGATGCAACCTTAACAGATACAAATTTTGCAATGAATTTGATATATGGTTTGATATTTGGTTTTTCTGAAAGATTGGAAGTAAGAGTTAATCCTAAAAGACAAAGGGTAGATGACTCATCAAGTACATTACTGTTCATACATAAAGGAAGATCTAGATTCTTGTGATAAGGATTAGCCGAAAGTTTTATTAGCCGGGTTTTATCTGAGTTAAAGTTCACCAGCCAAAATAAGCTGAGTTTTAACTCAGTTAAAATTCACCAGCCACTTAGACCACTTAGATGTTGTAGCAGAAGTGAGATCTTTTTCAAACTCAAATGCCCCCTACAAGCAATCGGAGAGTGTTGGCTTCTTATCAAGACAAGAATAAATGTTAGTATCATCAGCAAACAATACCACTTTAGATGTGAGAATATCGGGAAGATTATTAGTGTAAATTAAAAAAATAAGTTTTTAGATTTAATATATTGTTTGTTATTTAAAGACTCAAAAACCTTGCTTATGATAGGAAGAAGACTAATGGGACAATAGTTAAATAAGTAATATCACTTTCCAGAATTTTTGAAAATAATGTTAAGAGATGCTGTTTCCAGCAGTCTGGAAAACAAGACTCTGATAGGCACTTGTTAATTAGTTTTGAAAGTATAAGCAATAGCTCTGGAGAATACTTCTGCAAGATTATAACAGATGTGTTGTCTAGACCACAAGCTGTAGGAGAGTCAGGGGTGTACCCTCATGGTTGTCCGGTGACACAGTACAACTCATTTTCTTCAAAGGCAACTGAAATTAAAAAAAAAAGAGCCTTTCAGTAGCCCAGCAGGATGACCAGACAGTTTGAAAATAAATGACACAAAACAGATATTGATTATGACAAAAATGACGATCTTTAAAAGCTGTATTTATAGTTATCTCTTTTAAAACTGTATTTATAGTTATCTCTTTAAAAGCTGTATTTATAGTTATCTCATTAAAAGTTGTATTTATAGTTATTTCTTTACCAACACTCTTTGTAACGAAAGTTACTTAACAATATTTTGAACAGGTTATAACTTTTCACTTTTTTTTTATTAAATAACTTACTTTTAATTAAACGGTTTCTTATTAGACATTTTTTAGTAGTCAGGCGTTTATTTTTATTTTTTTTTTTTAGTATTTTTACCTGGGAAAAAATACTAAAAAAAAGCTATTATACAGGACTACTGATTATCGTAGCGGACTACTTAAATGAGAAAAAAACATTGTTTTACACATCCTACCAAACCAAAGACATCTTTTTTGAGCATCGGTTGCTTTACAGAGTTGGTTTTGGTGGTTGCTCCACACCTAGTTTTTGGTGTTGTTAAATTGAGTACCTTTTTCTCATTGTCAGTGATGACATGGTCGAGCCAGTTAAATGTACTGTATCGTGTCTGCTTCGTGACCTAGCTGCAGTAAGGTGTCTGCTTGCTAGCCTGCTTGCTTATACCAACTTAAAGGTCTTTCTCATTTCATTTACATGATTTTTTATAGAACATAAAAGACTATACATGTTCTTTAATGTCATCTATTTTTTGCCATGTAAATATCTTTCAGTGTATACTGAAGGGGACATTTTTTTTATTTTGGTAAAAATCACTTTTTTTACTTTTTTTGTACTCTTTTTTTATTTTCTATTTTTTATATTTTATTTGTTGTTTTTGTTTATACATTTTTTAACTTAATATATTTTATTATAAAATAATTTTACAATAAAAATTTTTATAGTAAAATTTTTTTTATTTTTGTTAATGTTATTTAATTATTAAATGTTATTTTTTATCTTTTTGTTCATTTATTTACAAAACGAATATTAAAAATAACAGTATTTAAATAAAAATGTTACTCTAACCCTATCCCTAATTTGGCCCTAACCCAAACTCTTAGTTGATATAACAGTTAGCGGTATCTTCCTTATATATCTTTCTTATATATATCTTCCTTTCATGTTGTTCCTTTAGTCAGTTTATGCATGTACTTTTTAATTTTCATAAAAGCTGTTTGTGGGGAATTTTATTTGACTAAGAAACCTATATTAAACTAACAGGTACATAAAAATGTCCTAATAAAGTTTTTCTATCTGTAAGTTTTTTCTATCTGTAAGTAAACTGTAAGTGGAACTATAGTTATAACCATTTTTGTTTTAGATCAAAAAAATGCATAAAAAAAGGCGTTTTTCAGAGGGTTGTTCAAATACTTTTGGTGAGTTTCTGTTTTGTTTCTTTCACTTAAATTAAAAAAGGTACAGGAACTTGTCTGTATTTATCTTTATATCTCTAAAAATGACGCTGAAATGTGCATCCCATTTTTTAAATAAATTTCATATTTAGGATAAAACTGTAAAACTATAAACTGACTTCAATAGCAAATCTTTTCTAATTTTCCTTGAACAAATCATCATGCCTTCTTTTTTTTTCTTTAACTTTCTACAGCTAAATGCCTTCTCTGAAGTAACCACTAATCAACATACAAACTTATACAAAGATTATTATGTTATAATAATCTTTGTTTGCTTTCTCTTTATTTTTTTTGTATAAATAATTAATATAATATTTTTTATTAAGACAATGAACAATTTATAGATTTTATAGTTACCAAGCAGTTTATAGATTTTATAGTTACCAAGCAGATATTTGTAAACATAATTTATGTTTATAAATAAAACTTAAGTTGAAAGAACATTTCCTGATATTAAATTATAAAAATTGAATTAATTAAAAAGAAAATGTTTTAATTCAATTTATTACTTAAAATTTTTTCTCTTAAACAAAAACCCTTCTCTACTTCTTAATAAAAAATGAAGTTTTTTTTGTTACTTTCACACATATTAATTTTTGATAGAGAGGCTTTAATGTTTTTACATAAAAAAATTATTAGTTTGCAAATACAAAAAAAAAAAAAAAAAAAATTAAGTAAAAAAGTTGATAAGATTTACATTCCTTGGAAATTTTTATTCTTAACATCATAATTTAGTTTAAAGTTTTTAACTGTAAAACTTTAAATTAAAAATGATGAAAAGTTTAAACTAAGAATTTGAAATTAAATATGTTGAAAATATTTTTCAACTCAGTTTAAGAATTTTCAAGTATAAAAAAGTAACTTTTTTTTTTATCAAGTTAACAAATGATTTCATAATTGTACCAATAATGTTTTTTACAACAACTATGATTTGATGTTTTCTAAATAAATGTTGCTTAATATAGTATCAAAAGGGAATATAAATAATAAAATTAATAAAAGTTTTGGTGTAACATAAATGACTTAACGTGTCAGTAAAATCTACATTTTGTACGTAAAATGCGTACAGCGCTACACTTTTTAACAAGGCCTAATACTGAGCTAAAAAGTAATAATTCAATAACTTTAAAACTTTTTTATGATATACCATATGAAGAAAGTTTTTAAAGACCAGCATAGCAGACGTATTGATAAACACCTTTAATATGTCAAGCAAAATATGTATTGCCTTGCTGCTTCTATTTAATGCATGATAGAACTGTTAAAATGGTTAACAAGTCATTAATAGAACAAGTGGATTAAAGTATTTATTGTCAGAGAGTAAGACTTGATATTAGAAGTTTTATAATTAATCAAATATCTTAATTAAAGAAGGAAAAAAGCACATACTGAAACTTTTTAGTCCCTGTGTAATAAAGTACAATATTCAATTCACTACGAGAGGTAATCCACTGTTATTTAGGGTGGTAGCCCTCTCAGCTTACAGTTTCAGACAGGAGGTAATCCACTGTTTAGGGTGGTAGCCCTTTTATCAAAAGAGTAAGAATAATCAATTATAATAATGAATTTAAATTTTTTTAAACAAGACAATTAGCCAAAACTGGGTGTTGGTTCACATTCGCAATCAACTTAAGATATTCATAATTGGTGTAGCCAGCTTTCACATGCTTTTTTAGAACTCTTTGAACGATTGCAATAACTAGAAACAACTAAGATTGAAAATGACAGCAACATTCAAAATTTAAAAACAGAAATAATCAAAACAGCTAATTCAAGCAAGTCTATCTGTGATTAGTCTCTTATTGTTAAACAGGGTAAACAAAAAAAGAAGCCAACAGAACAACTAGTAGCAACAAATGTAGCCATTAATGAATTAGAGGAGAGAAAGAGAAGAGCAAAAAATGTTATTATTTATGGTGTAGCTGAATCTGCTAATGAAAACACTGAAATGAAATCAAAAGACGATGAGTCAAAAGTAAAAGAAATTTTTAAAATTATAGATCAAGAGAATGTTATACCAAAATTTATTAGACGGTTGATTAGAATTGGGCCTGGTTTATCTGAAACTGATAAACTAGCCCCAATTCTAGTTGAATTAACTGAGGATTTTCTTCGCAATAAAATTTTAGGATCAGCAATTGAGAAATTCGCAATCAGAAACTAATCAGAAATTGAGAAGTTAAAGCTGCATAAAAACTGTTATCTTTGTCCAGACTTAACGGAAGCACAAAGGTTACAAGATTTCAATCTAAAAACTGAAAGAAATAAAATGAATCAAGTAAGAACAGACAATGATTCCTTTTGGTAAGGCATTCGTGGCAATCAAATTGTCAAATTTAAAAAGAAATCAAATCAATAAGTTTCCTCAAGTTTTGGTTTCAGATGGTATTGAAGTTGAAAAGCTGTCATGTTTATATTTAAATGCTACTTCTCTCGATAACAAATAAAATGAATTTAAAGTTGTGATCGAACAATACAAACCAAATGTAGTTGCTGTGACTGAGACTTGGTTCAAGAACAATTCAGTGGTAAATGTTGAGGGTTTTCATTTGTATAGAAAAGACAGATAATATGGCAGACAAGGCGGTGGAGTGTATTTATATATAGACAATTTAATAGACTCATATGAACTAAATGATGCAGGTCTAAACCTTTGCAAACTTGAACAAGTGTGGGTAGTAGTTTACTTTGGTAAAGACAAGTATCTCCTTGGCTGCATCTACAGGCCAAATGATTTTATAGACATGTCAGAATTTCATGTGGTATTCAGTCGTGCACGTGAGTTCATTGATAAAAATAAGTTCAAAGATTTTCCAATCATGGGTGACTTCAATTTTCCATCTATTAGCTGGGCAAATGGCTGTGTAGATGTAACTTCAAATGAGAATGGAATTAAACACAAATTTTCAGATATTTTAAATGAAAATTTCTTTTACCAGCATATCAACATACCAACTTTCCAGCTGTCAGACGATCAGCTTATAAATACCTTAGATTTAGTTTTCACAACTCAGTCAGCAAGTGTTAGTTTAATAGACTCAAAGTTTGTTCTGGGAATTATAAAGGGAAGTCATTTAATAATATGTTTTGATTTTATCTTAGCTGATAAAGCAGTCAGTGACTATAAAAAGCAAGCAAAGATTTATGTTTGCCAAATCTAAGTTTGACAAAATATCTGATCTAATTTCAAATGTTGACTGGATAAGATGCTTTAGCAATAAAAACGTTCAAGAAATGTTTGATGAGCTTATTTATTACACAGAAGTGGCATGTAATCATTTCACTCCTATTAAAATGACAATCAACTCTCTAAAAATCAGACCAGCCTGGGTAAATGCCAGTTTAATATTTCTTATCAGAAGCAAGCAAAATTTAAGATGCAAAAATTGCTCATGTAAATGGAAAGACCCTGTTCTAAAATTTGAATACAAAATGATTTGCAAAAAAGTAGAGCATGAGATCAAAAAAATCAGACAAAACTTTGAATATGATCTGGTAAAAAGAGCTGCCAAGAATCCAAAGCTCCTGTACAGCTACATAAACAATCAACGAGCAGTCAGAGATTCAATCAAAGCATTAAAAGGAACAGATGGTCAAACCACTCAAAATTCAAAATATATTGCGGATATTTTAAACAAAAACTTTCAAGCAGCATTTGTGAGAGAAGACGATGGTCCGCTGCCTTACTTTCAGGTAAGAACAATTGAAACGTTTATTATGACAACAGAAGATTTTAAATATGAAGATGTCTTTTTAAGATTAAAAAACTTGAAAGAAAACAAATCAAGTGGTGTTGATAACTTACATTCAGCTATTTTAAAAAACTGTGCATCAGCATTTGCTATTCCACTTACATATATTTTTAAAGAATCATTTGAAACTAGCAAATTGCAATCGTTTGAAACTAGAAAATCAAATCAGCAAATATTACTTCTCTGTACAAAAAAGGTGAAAAAACCTTAGCAGTAAACTACCAACCGATATCACTCACCTCAATTGCTTGTAAAATAATGGAAGGTATAATGAGATGTAAACTTGAAATTTTTCTGAATGAGTATAAACTCATAGTCAAGCAGCAGCACGGTTTTGTTAAAAGTAAATCATGCACAACAAATCTACTTGATACCTACATTTTATCAGATTACCACCAGTTTAGAAAATGGTAAACCTGTTGATGTTGTTTTTTTTGGATTTTACTAGGGCATTTGACACAGTGCCCCATAAAAGGCTGTTACTAAAACTAGCAGTTTATGGAATATCTGGTCTAACAATTAAATGGATTGAAGCTTTTCTGAAAAATCGAAAACTAAGAGTTGTGCTAGGCGAAAACTTATCTTCTTGGGCAGAAATTATCCGCTAAAATAATGAATGAAATGATTTCCTACAAATCAACAGTGTCTTTGCAAGCAGATCTTGATAGAACTTTTAAGTGGACTCAAGAGTGGTTTTTAAAGTTCAATATTTCTAAATGTATGGTCATGCACTATGGGATTAATAACAGAAAAACACCACTTTATATCAATAAACAAAAATTAAACGTAACAGATTCTGAAAGAAATCTAGGAGTAATTTTCTCAAACAACCTAAAAAGGAAAAATCAAGTGATATCATGCGTAGGCAAAGCTAATCAAATGTTGGGTATGATTAAAAAATGCTTTGTTCGTTTAGATATTAGACTACTGAGATCACTTTATGTATCTTTTATCAGGCCACTATTAGAATTAGCAGTACCCGTTTGGTGAATCAAAAGGGTGAAATTGACTTACTGGAAAGAGTTCAACATCGTGCAACTCGACTAATACCATCACTCAAGAAAATCAACTATGAGAATCGTCTAAAAGCTCTTGACTTAACTACGTTAACAAATAGAAGAAAGAGAGCAGACATGATTCAACTTTTTAAGATCTTTAACAGTTTCAACAAATTAGAAACAAAAAGAAAGTTTAATTTTCAACAAACTTAAACAAGAGGTCACCGGTTTAAATATGTAAAAGAAATCACTAAGCAAGCTCATCGAGAAAACTTTTTCTGTCAATTTATGGAATAGCTTGCCAAACGATATGGTTAATTCAGAAACAGTTAACAGTTTTAATGCCGGTCTTGATTGCTGGATGAGCAGCAGTCAGGCAAATCAGCTGTCATAGTGTGCTGATAACACACTCACTGGTTCATACCAGTTACAGCATTTAATAATAATAATAATAATAATAATTAATTGAGCAATAGTCAGCAATAGTTTTTTTTAAACAAGATTTAAGCACATGTTAAATAGTTTAAAGTGAAAGTTTTAGTGCGAAATAACTTTAGAGATAAAAGCATCTAGTTTTGGTGTCTAGCAAAAAAAAGTCAAGTCGACCAGAAATAAAAATGAAAAATGCATTCTTGATAAGAAGGAAAATAATAAAGATCAAAAAATGTCAACATAAATTTTCTGCTTAACGTCAGAGTTAACTTCTCCTAGTCTTTGTCTTGATAAGTGAGTCCTACAAAGCAGTTAGACTATAAAGGTTATACTAGATTACTTGCTATCAGTAGCGAGGTGATCCTGATACTGACTTTCCTTAAAGATAACCTAAAATATTATTTTTTTATTATTATTTTTTTTTTTTTATTATTTTGTTATTATTTATTTTGTTATTATTTTTTTTAATTATTATAAGTACTAATTTTTTTACAATAAATTAGTAAAAAAAACACATATTATTCTACTGCTAATTTCTCCTTCCTGATGATTTTCTGTTTAAGGAAAAACTTGTGTTGAAGAAAAAGTTGCTAATGATTGTTTAAATGTTTTGTGTCACAAAAAAATTTTTTTGTAGCAGTCACATATTTTGAAAATAACTATACTTGTCAATTAATTTTTAACATTTGTTCTTAACTCAAACAAACTATATTAAAAAACTGAATTGTATTTTATTCTTAGAAAATGGATTCAAACAGAAAACAAGTTTAGTATGGAAAATGTTTTATAATTGAAGCAAACAATTAACAAATAAAAAAAAAAGCAAACAATTAAAGAATAGTTCAGTGCAAAATCTGCAATATTTAAGTTTCAAGATGATTTGATGACCTAAAAAAATAGAATTTCATGGACTTAAGAATCATAAGCCTGACATCAAACTTGAAACAGAAAGGTCAAGAAAACCAAAAGCAAATGATGAGGCTGAATTGAATTTAAACAAAAAAAGTAACTTTTCTTATGTTGAGTCTTATCTCTTACAAAGTTCACCAGACTTACTTGCTCTTTGTGAGACTAATTTGAGTTTGACTGTCTCATCTTGCAATCTTAGTGTTGATGGTTATCTTTTAATTCGTAAAGACTCCAATAGTCACATACTTGGCCTGGGCATTTACATTCATAAGAATTTACCCATTTGTCAGGAAACTAGGTTTGAATCCACACACTATTCTTTGATGTGCTTTTGTTTAGCATCACTTTACTCTATTGCCTTTGTCTTTGTTCTATATCGCTCTCCTTCATCTGACTGCACTCTTTTCAATGTTATTTCTGATCAAAATTACCAAGCCCTCTCTCTTTATCCTTCAGCCAATATCGTTGTTGTTGGTGACTCTAATGCTCATCACACTGAATGGCTTGGCTCTAGTGTCAGTGACTCTGCAGGCATTAATGCCCACAACTTTTGCCTTTCTCAATCTCTAACTCAAGTAGTCAACTTTCCAACTCGTTTTCCAGACAACCCAATTCATTTATCTTCTTTACTTGACTTTTGTCTTGTTTCTGATCTGAGTCAGTGTTCAGTTTCTCCACATTCACCTTTAGGTGCTTTTGATCACAGTTTGATCTCTTTTCCTAAACTTTTGATTGGTTATCATATTTTGAATGAGGTATCTATAACAGCGTAAGAATTTATTTAAGGCTTTGGTTGTTTTGTTGATTTAAACTTTCTTGGGCTTGTTTATGCTAATAATACTTATTTGATTTTATATCTTAAAATAAATTTATTAGTATTTTTATGCTTTTATTAGAGTTTTAATTTATTGTGTTTTCATGTTTTTTTTCGGTGGTATGGTAAGTGATCTGTTTAGTTATTTTTATTTATATTGTACAGTAGATCTACACTTTTTACATCATATTAAAAAAATATTAGTGTTTTACAAATTTAAGTATGGTTGGCTTTTGGCTATTTGTAGAGAGTCCTTTTTTACTTCAGTATGGATAAGGCTTAAGTTGCGGGGTAAAGCATAAGTGGCGTTTGTCTGACGGAATAAACTAGTTATAAATGCTGATCCTCATCAAAACGTCAGTGATAATAAACGCAATTCTGAGGAGATGTTTATTACTTAATCACTCAAATTATGTTTACATATTATTAGCACCTTTTTTTTTTTTATTGTTGTTAGCATACTTTTTATTTTGTGATCGGTTTTTTGTTTTATAAGTTTTTTGTCTGGTAATGTATTTATTGTATATCTTCGTTCATATTGTTGTTTATAAAACAATTTTTTTTTTTTTTTTATTGATATTATAGTTGTTGAGTACTGTTTTGGGTGTATAGTCTGTCTTATTTATTTTTAAATATTCCTCTATTAATTTTTGTTTTTGTCTTGACAACTGTCAAAATATGCTTTGTTCAATAAATCTCCTTTATTCTAACGTACTTCATTTCTTCCCTCAGGCGTTCACTGCTCATGTGTGACCATTCAGCGAATTTTATATGCCAAAGTTTTTAAATAACATATTTTTTTTTTTTTGTTAGGTTTCTTAGTCTTTAAAGAGTATCAGTTTCATTTTTTTAGTTGTTATTTTTTTAGGAAATAGTTCTTGTAATGATGAATGTACAAGCATTGTTAAAGAGAATGAGGATTATGATGATAAGGATGATGATAACCAACTTTATACAGTAACAGTAAGTCACATTTATTCAGTAACAGTAAGTCACATTTATACAGTAACAGTAAGTTTATACATTTATACAGTAACTGTAAGTCACATTTAGTTATTAAATATTTGTGCTTAATCTTTAATAAAACCTGATCAAAAAAGAGTTGCTATTAAAAAGTTGTAACTAATGATAAAACAAATTTAATAAAATAACTATAGTTTATAATTATGACTTAAAATATGAACATTTAAAACTTTAAAACTTAACAATCGCAAAAGTTGTAACAATAACTATAAAGCTATTAGTAACATGGAATCATTGCTCATTTAACTATAATGGTAATGATTTTAAAATTATCATTATATAGTCACTATCATTATTGTATCTTCTATTGCATGTTTTTTTTTTTTTTTGGTTTATATTAGACAATAAATTTTTTTTTAAATCATGAACAATAAAATTTTAAAAATTATGATGATGAAATTTTTTTTTAATATCTAGTTGAGGACCAGTTGTTCTTTCAATTTTATAGCAACACATGTGGCAATGATCTGATAAATACAACAGGTTTTTCCCCATTAACAGCTCTCTTTTGGTCATTATTTGCAACAGTTATATCAAAATATATTGAATGAATTTCCAGAAATATATTTTATACTGTAGCATTTTTTATATTGCAGCAATTTATTTTTGTACCTCAGAAAACAAAGGTTGGTTTGTCCGTTTTTTTGTGAAAATAAGTTATGTATGAGCCTTTTTTAGTTTTTTCAGTATCTACACAGAGGTATAAAGACTGTTGTCCTAGGAGAAATTTGAAACAAAGTTAGGTCAATATAAAAGGTCTGGTGTCCCCACTATGTTCAACGGAAAAATGTCTGTTGTCCAGAAAAAAAGTTTTGTTTTTTTTTTTTCTCAAAATTATATTTCATGTGCCTTAAGACAAATTAAATAAAACATGAAAAAAATTACATCATTAACAATCAAGAATAAGCCAACAAAGACTAATTATTTTATTATTTCCTCTCTCCTCAACAATTTCTAAAATGTGACAACGGACCTTTGGCTTCTGAGATTTTATACTGCAGCAGTATTTTTTATATTGAAGCAATATTTTTTATATTGCATCAATATATTTTATATTGCAGCAATATATTTTATATTGCAGCAATATATTTTATATTGCAGCAATATATTTATATTGCAATAATATATTTTATTTTATCTTGCAGCATTATATTTATAATTGCAGCAATATATTTCTTGTTTTAATATCCTTTTATTACTAAACTTTTTAGGCTAGTTCTGAGAAAAACTTAGCGTTACTAGAAAGTTTTAACAAATTAATGGATGTTGCTTCTTTTCAATATCCATATATTTTTCAAAGCATCCAAAAAAGGTTGTTCTTTTTTTTTTAATATCTTTCAGCTTTTATATATATATATATATATATATATATATATATATATATATATATATATATATATATATATATATATATATATATATATATATGAAGAGTTTATTTTCAAAACGCGGTAAATGCCATTTTAAAAATTTTTTAGAAATTGTGTGGTTTATTTTTAGTTTATCAGGACCTAGCAGACATTGTATCCGAATATATGCTAAACAAAGTATAACCCAATATTTTTTTACTTCTAAAAAACATTTATTTTCAAAACGCGGTATAAAATTTTTATTTGGTTTCAAAATGCGGTATTTAATTTTGACCAATCCGTGGCAAATGTATATTACTTCTGCACAAGCGCAAATATTTTAAAGTTGCGTTAAAGAAATGGCGGATTGCGATGGACAAGATTAATGCGTTACCTAATATCCTATTTCACATAGAAAAAAAGATATGATGTATGAAACAAAAGAAAAGAAAAGCATTTCTTAATTCTAGTGTTCGTTTAAACTACTATGCTTTGTTTGTTTAACTGAAAGAATTATGGAATAATGATAGAAAATATATTAAAAAGGCAACTTAAATTAATAAGTTTAAATATATTTGTTACCTGTTTTTTAATGGAAAGCATTCAATAATAATACTTCCTTTTTATTTTTTGTTAAACCGACAATTGCTTTGTTGCAAATAAAATGAGGCTATTGCAGTATTTCATTTTTTAAATTTTATTTCGTTTAAAAATATAACGATGACTTTTATGTTATATTAATTGTCCATTAGTTCTATGGAGACTTAAAAATAGTGATCATCATTGTTACAACTACACAACACTAAAAAAATATTATTGTTTATTGTCCATATTTAACTCTCCGAAACAAATATAAATTTACAATTGCGAATTGTGAAATGTAATAGTTTACATTACTTTAATAAAACATTGTTTACATTCACATTATCAATAAAATATAATGACCAAACATTAAATACACATATTTGTTCAATATGTTAACTAAAATTAATCATTAAAACTTATTCAGGTCTTTTAAAGTTTAAAAACTTTCCATAACATCTTTATAAAATGGATATACTGCATTTTGCTAACAAGCTTTAATTGGATATACAGTATTTTGAAAATAAATGCAAACTTATTGACAAAAAAAATAAATTTTTTTATTTAATAATATTTTATTTATTAAAATTATATAATATACTTTATGTATATATACACTAAGAAACAATAATTTTTCCAAATATACGAGACATGTTGGTATGGCGAAAAAAGTCAATTATCTCAATACCACAAAAATGGATATACCGCATTTTGAAAATACACTCTTCATATATATATATATATATATATATATATATATATATATATATATATATATATATATATATATATATATATATATATATATATATATATATATTTAAAGTGTATATATATATATATATATATATATATATATATATATATATATATATATATATATATATATATAAAGTATATATATATATATATATATATATATACGTATAAAGTATATATACGTATAAAGTATATATATTTTATATATATATATATGTATACGTATAAAGTATATATATTACATATACTTTATACATATATATATATATATATATATATATATATATATATATATATATATATATATATATATATATATATATATACATACACTTTTGAACCTTTAGCTTTTATATATATATATATATATACACACCGTGAGAAATATATTTTGATACTAACAAAAATACGTATATCTTTTTTTTTAAACATTTCAAAAAACTTTATTTAGAATTTAAAAGTTGACATAATTAATAAATTATAGTAAATGATTTGGAATAACATCCCCTTTAACCTTGATGACATTTTATATGGTCTTACATGTTAGCTAATCGTTAAGATTAGCTAACATGTGAGACCATATAAAATAATCAAGTGGCTTGCAGTGTGGTTAGCTTGGAGGCCATTCTTCTTTAGTTAAAAAATCAGTCAAATTTTCCTTGCACCAAACCTGAGTAATGTTAGCTGTATGAGAAGGTGCTCCATCTTGTTGGAAGCAGTAGTAATCTTCTCCATACAATTTTTTGGTGTTCGGAAGCATGTTTTTCTCCATCACTTTTTCCACATAGTATTTTGCTTTAACTTTTACACCTTTTTTAATGAAAATTAAGGGCAATTTACCTCTTGGACAGATTGCGACCCAAACCATTACAGAGGCTTCGTTTTTGAAATCTTGGAACATGTCTTTTGTTGTCTGGGATGTCCTCAATTGAAATAGAGCAGTTTTTGTCATTTTGGGAGTTGTGAGATTGCTCCTAAATGAAAAGTTTTTCATCAGAAAATATAATTTCATCACCTCCGTGCCAAGCCAAAATATTTTTTGCTCTTTTGACGCGTTTACATTTTGATGGTTCAGAAACTCCATGAACTTTACGTTTTTTAAATGGCTTCAACTTCAAAGCCTTTTTTAAAATAATTTGCACTGTTTCGCAGTTCATTCCGAGATCTTTTGCTACTTTCGTGGCAGATCAAGCAGAATTTCGTCAAATTCGTTCTCTGATCACTTTGATGACTGCTGGAGTACTTACAGAGTGTTTGCGTCTTGATCTTGGGTGGCCAGTGATAGTACCCGTTTCCTGGAAGCATTCAATGTTACATTAAACCATATTTCTGGTGACTCCATCTCTGTTCAGGGCTCTAAAAATGTCCCCACAAGACTTTCTTTTTTTAAATTTTTCGATAATTATTTCTCTATACACTTTCATAGCTAGAAATATTATTTTACATTTAAATATTTGCATTTTACAATTAAATATCATACCGGTAATTTTATATTTAAAAACTTTTATTTATATTGTAAAGAAACAATAAAAATTAAAAACTTATATATATATATATATATATATATATATATATATATATATATATATATATATATATATATTTATATATATATACATACATATATACATATATATGTGTGTCTGTATATAATACTTTGAGTACTATTAACAATGTTGTTTTTCATTTAAACAAACTTTAAATATATATATATATATATATATATATATATATATATATATATATATATATATATATATATATATATATATATATATATATATATATATATAATTTTAAATAACTGAAAATCCACCTTAGCATCAATTAATTCACCAAAAAGAAATCAAAACTACTAACATTAATTTTTAATTTTGGAAAAAGAAAATAAAATACTTTTTGCTCTTTTTGCCTGCCTAGTGGCATCTGACTAATTTCATTAAATGTGTTTTGTTTTTCAACTGATTTACATACCACCCTAGTTGCAACGGGTTTCAGAAATCTGCCATTATGTCACAATTTATAATCATTTGGTTTATTATTGATAAATAATTACTTATATTTTTACAATTAATAAGATTATTGTGAAAATATAAGTTTAAATATAATTTGTCAATTTTGTGACAAAATGGAGGTCACTTCAAAATTTTGGGTAACCAAGATTTACACAAAAATATTGTGGCTATCATGGTTGATAAGGTGTTGCGAAAAAAGTATGGGTTGCTGGTTGTCAATCAACAATGTTTTGCCCATGGCTTACAACTCGCAGTAATTGAATTTTCTGATATTTGAATTCTCTGTTCCTTCCTCTTCTTTGTCACTATCATTGGTTAAAACAGAATACAAAAATTCTTGATCTGTTTCTTGCAAGATGCCTGTTTTTCTAAGACAATTTATTATAGTGTTTACAGTTGCAATGTCCCATGATGTGGTCATCGTGTGCATGGCTTCCAGCATAGTAATCTTTGGGGTTGTTTTCCAGCATCAATTAGTCCATCTGACATCTGACAACATTTGTGCAATAAAAAGCTTTTAATGCCCTAATAATTCCTGGTTCGTTGGTCCATTAGTATTCCCCATCATTCTAGAATTATTAGTTGTAGGTAATAAAGAGTCTATGATTAATAATTCTTTTAAGATACTTTGATGTAGAGTCAACCAAAGTTATCACCAAAAACTGTCAGTCATTCCAAGTTTTTCCAAAAAGTTATTATTGTATAAAGATGTTGTAAATTAAACAAAGTTGTGACTATTTGTGTGTTACTTTAGTAACTTTAAGAAGTTTACTCAAAAGTTTTTACAGTATACAAATAAGTTTTTGCAATATGTTTATCAACAGTTTCAGGTAAATTGTAGTAAGGATTCTTATGCCTTAGTTGTCTCTTAAGTTTACAGCCTTTAATTCTAATGGAATATAATATAAAAACTTTAATTCCTATAATTTTTTATAAGCTTTTCCTTTAATTCTAATGCGATAAATAATTAAAGAATTAGTTCTTAAAAATTAAAAAACAATTTTCACATTTCTGGCTTTTCCAATTGGGTAAATTTATCATTATCAACAACAGCCACTTTGTACTTATCAACATCCATCTGCAGTTTCATCTGTGGATTCCAACTGTAGCTCAATTTTTTTTCAAAAATTCTTTAACAGGTTTCCTGTTGTTTTGATACACATATAGTTCCATAACTGACTCTTATTATAGACTTTTTGTTTATCTACAACCATTAATACCAGATTGATTGTGACTACCAAAACTTAAAAATTATTTTTATGATGCCATTTTAAGTTTTCCAGTAAATTATAGTAAGGATCTTATATTATTTCTATATCTTAATTTTGTGAAAAATTTGAAATATAATGGTTTTGTAGTTGTTTGAAATTTTGGTTATTCTTATTTTTATTCCTCAATGAGGTTCAAATAACCAGGAAACCTAATCACCAGGAGTCAACTGTAATGACTTATAACTTATAAATGTAATAAGTTATAAATGCTGGTGATTAGGTTTCTTAACAGATTTTGAATTAGTTAAGTTTTTATTGAGATTTGATTAAGCAATTATAATCAAAAAAAAATATTTTTTTTTGTTGAAGTTTATATAATTAAATAATTACTTTTTTTTAATTGTTATTTTTTAATTAAATAAATTTTAAAACATCTTGTATTTTATTTTTATCTATATATTAATTATATTTATTTATATATTAATTATATATTATTTTTTACGTGTTCATTAGGGTAAAAAGCTCTTCCACAAATGGTATATTATGTTTCTATATTTAAAAAACTTTTAAAATGTTCATTCAGTATTAAATTTATATTGATTTTGTTTCCCAAGTTTATGTTGATTTTGTTTCCCATTCACTGATTTTTTAAGAATATATTGGAGAAGAAAAAGCCAATCACAAAAGAGCACAAAAAGTATGCAGCAATGAAAAATCTGGAATGTTTAACACAATACAAGAACTTAAAAAAATATCTTATCAACTTGATATGCTAAAAGTACATATTTCTTCATTTTTGTTTAATTATTTCTGTCTATAATTTAATAGCATTTATATAAACTCTTTTATTTCAAAACCAGGGTGAAATAAAATATTTGACAAAAATGTGACAAAAATGTGACAAAAAAAACATTTGTGGTGGAGTGTTTTTTAATTTCATAATAATTGTAAGATGATTAATTTTAATTGATTATGTTTTTATTTCTAATTTGTCATCTTGTTTTATATTAGGGAATAAAAACAGATGCACATCATTCATGTTTTAAATACAAAAATGAAGAGCAATTATGTAACAATGTATGTATTAAATTGTTTTTAAGCGAATCAGGTTATTAAAATGCCTTTGATAGAACAGGTTAATAAAAGTGAATTTGATTTTATTAATCTGTTAATCTTCTATCAATGGCATATATGTAATATATAAAATATAAAGTATAAAAATAAAATATAAAAACAAAATATAAAAATTAAGTAAAACATTTATGTTATTATGAGATTATGTTAAAGGTATAATTAAAAGATTTGAAGCATTATTTGAAATACCTTTTTTTTTAATTTTTTTTATTTTTTTATTTAGATATTTAAACAAGAAGTTAATTAAATTTTGTTGTAATGATATAGGATTTCATTTGAGTATTGAGGGTTTTGGATTGTATTGTATGTTAATTATATTTTTGAGCATAATTGATCACAAAAATTCACATTGTCTTGTAACCTTTTGCATTGCATATTAAAAATCTGTATATATGTTAAATTTCATAAGCGTATAAAAAAAAGTTAGTATAAGAATGTTAAATCAGTAAGTTGAAATGCTAAAATATATATATATATATATATATATATTTTTTTTTTTTTTTTTTTTAACATCTTCACTTCCAACAAGGCTGCAAGCATCCACTATAAGAGTTGGAAGTTACTGGAAGAGAAAAGACTAAATCTGTAGAGCAAGATAACGATTGACTGATGACTTAAAAGATTGCAAATTATATGAATCAGGAAAGCAAGATGAAGGAAGCGAATTCCAAAGAACTGATGTTTGAGGAAAAAAACTAGAAGAATAAGAGTTTTTGAAGCACTTAGGAACAGTCACAGAAAAAGGATGAGACTTAATTGAATGGCGAGTAACACGAGAATGAATTTTAGTAGATGGCACAAGGGACGCTAGCTCTTTAGAGCAGTGCCTATTATAGTATTTGTAGAAAAGAGAAAGAGAAGCAACATTACGACGATGTGACAAAGGTTGGAGATTGGCTGCCAGAGCAGGTCCAACTATGTTTACAATTCGTTTTTGCACCTTGTCTAAAAGAGAAAGAGCATCATTAGAAGATCCGCCCCAGATGTGGCAACAGTATTCCATACAGGGACGGATTTGAGATTTATAGAGATAGAGAATAGAATCTGGAGTAAGAAAGTGTCGAGCTCGATAAAGAGATGCAACCTTAGCAGATGCTAATTTTGCAATGGATTTGATATACGGTTTAAAAGAAAGATCAGAAGTAAGAGTTAATCCTAGAAGATGAATGGTAGATGACTCATCTAGTACATTACCATTCATAAATATAGGAAGATCTAAATTATTATGATAACGATTGGCCGAATAAAATTGAGTTTTATCTGAATTAAAGTTCACCAGCCACTGTGAGCCCCATGCTGTAGCAGAAGTGAGATCCTTTTCAAGCTCAGATACCCCCTCCAAGCAATCAGAGAGTGTAGGCTTCTTATCATGACAAGAGTAAATGGTAGTGTCGTCGGCGAATAATGCAAACTTAGATGTGAGAATATCTGGAAGATCGTTAATGTAAATTAAAAAGAGTATAGGGCCAAGGATTGAACCTTGAGGAACCCCTGAAGTTACAGGATGTGAAGAAGAGTGTTGTCCATCGAGGACAACTTTTATACTACGATTGGAAAGAAAGGACTCAATAATCTTAAAGACGTTACCAGCTACACCATAAGAAGAAAGCTTATGGAGAAGACCAGCATGCCAAACTTTATCAAAAGCTTTAGAAATGTCAAGTGCGATAGCCTTAACCTCTCCACCTCTATCTAATGCACGGTAAAATATATATATATATATATATATATATACATATATATATATATATATATATATATATATATATATATATATATATATATATATATATAAAATATATATATATATATATATATATATATATATATATATATATATATATATATATATATATATATATATATATATATATATATATATATATATATATATATATATAAATATATAAAATGTATATATATATATATATATATATATATATATATATATATATATATATATATATATAACTTTTATATAACTTTTTCTAGGTGAGCTTTAGGATGTTTTTAAAAAAAGCTGGAGAAAGATGAAGAAATTTTGTGATATTCTTGTACTAAGCGCATGTTAATAGCTGCTGATATCACAAAGATCAAAATGGAAAAGGGACTGGTCATTTTATGTCAGAAGAGTAATATGGTTAGAAAATATTACATGATTAATACCATTGATTTCATTGGTATTTCAAACTTTTCAAGTATTAGCTTATAAAAAAGACTGAGGACTTTATGAAAAAGTTAACTGAAGATCAAAAATTAAATGATTACAAGGTCAGTGAATTATTTGCTCTAATGAAGAAGATCAAAGAAGTTCAATGCAATAATGAATTTACTACTTTATATTTAAAGAAAAAAACTGCCTTTAACAAATTCACTTGAAGTATCAGCAAAGAAGATCTCAGAAATTACAGCTTCTGTGGCAGACCATTATTGTTTTACAGTTTACCAATAGCTTCTATTTCAATCCACTATCATTTTCAAATTTTGAGTTCAACATTATGATATGTCTATATCAGTATATATAAAAAAAACTAAACATTGTCAAGCAAGTTCTTACTCTTTTGTTATTTTTTTGGAATCAAGCCTTAGTTACTTTATCATAAGCTTTTTCTACAGCTTTCAGTACTTAACTTTTAAAAGGCTGTGGAAGTCTGTATTTTCATTTTGAAATCTTCTGTAATAGGAGGTGTTGCCTATTCTGACAAAAAATCTTTAGTAAAGCAGCTTTGACTTCTGAAAATTTAAAAGTAATTGTTAGGATGGTGCAAAAACCATACTCACTCATCCAGCTTTGTATCCAAATAAGAGGTAAGAGGTTTATAATTTATGTTTTTCTCCTAAACACATATCATTGATAGCTCAGTGGTTTAGTGCGCTGTCTCCAGTGTCGTTTTGGGGGATTAAAGATATTCCCTTAGAAATTTTGAAAATTCTTTCTGTATTTATAGCAATATTTATAGTAAAAATTTTATTACTGTATCGCAGTTTATTATCATTTTATATTAACATTATTTTATAACAGTATTGAAGACTAATAAGATCTTAGAGCATTATAAACTATAGACTATAAAGCGCTAATCGCCCACAAATTACACAATGCTAAATTTATTTTTTTAAAAGTAGAAGAGATCTTCAGTTCTTTAGGATGGCGGTTTTCATTAAACTTAATGAGCTATATTGAGCTATATTTTATTTAACATACGACTCTGCAAGGAAAAATTTTAATCATTTTTTGTTTTCTTCAATTCTGAAATTTAGTGTTGAGTAATTTATAGATGATCCCTTATTTTAAAGTTTAGATAAAGGATCAGCCAAAAACATATAAAGCCAAAAAATAATAGAGTATAATACTATTTTGATGGTTATCTAAATTATGTCATTGTTGCGCACTTGGTTTTGAATGTTTAATGAGGACGTGATAAAATAGCTGTAAAACTCTAAATTTCCTTATTGTATCAATATTAAATAACTTTAACTTTTAATTATTTTTTAAAGTGATTAGTCTTGTACAAACTCAACTTAGTTGTAAAAAACTTGAAATTTAAATCTAAAATAACATAAGTATCTCAACCATGACACATACGCAATAAATATCCTCCTCCCCCAATTTTTATTGTTTTTAGAATTTTTAGCTTTTTTAAAAATCTTTTCGTTTGTTAAAGTGTATAACATTGTTAGATATGTTTGTATATAATCTTTTTAAAACTTCACAAGTATTTTGAAATTTTAAAACTATATAAAATTTGTTTTTAATGTAAATAAAGGCTGTAGATCAAAATTTAAGAAGAGGTTTACACAATGCAGTTTTTAAGTGAAAGTCAGACTGTAAAACTTGATAATTGTTTAAGTATGTTTTAACATTATATATATATGTCAATATAAATAATGTTAAAACATATATATCAACAGCTTCATAACATAAAGTTTATGTATGTACAACATAAGTTTCACATTTGCTCACGTTTTCTTATAAAGCTGAGACTCTTTCTCGCCAATACCTCGTTTGCAATGTTACCCATAACATTTTTCTGTTATTTTTGCAATATTATGATGCTATTTTGTGTATTATGGTGAGATACTAAGAGCTCATTTTTAAACTAATTAACCCTTTATCGCTTTTAGTAAACATACGGTTACCACAACTTTCCAGAATAAAATTGAGTTGTATACTTTGTAGTTCTGTCTAGTTTGTTTTTTTCCTTCAAATGTCATCTTTTAAAAATATAATAACAGTGCCATTATCTTATTTCCCCATGTTAAAATTTATTTCTAAATTGATGTTTGGAATTATATCTACCAGGTTAAAAAGTAACTGACAATGCTTATATTATTTCAGCTTTATTACTATTTATAAAATTTTTTATTAATATATTAATAAAGCTGAAATCTACTATAGCATATTTATATGCCCACTTGCTCACTTTTTTTCCTAATCTAAATCGATATAGGTTTTTTAGAAAATGAAGAGGGAAATGAAGAATAACGAATGAAAAGGTTGCTGACCCATCCCAAAACCCTTAGGCTATGTAGCAGCACTCCACTGCGAGTCAGACTATTTAATTTCATTATGTAAACATAGCTAAAACAAAAAGTCATAATATCAAAGAAGCAATAGAAATATTACTTGCTCCATATTCTGATTCTGAGATGTCAAATTTAGATGAAGTTGATGATGAAGAAACATCTGTACAACCACACATTGATGTTGACTCTGGTGTAGATCTGATAGTTGAAGACATTGATGCAGAAAATAAACAAAACACTAATAAAATTGATTTCAGTAAAAGACTCATCAAAGTGTGAAAAGTATATCCTGACTCAATGACCAAAACTGTTCTGGTTCTTATGTAATAGAGAGATTGAAACGCTACCAAGAAATCAAAATTTTAAACTTTTCTTCGATAATTGGTTTTCTTCAATACCGTTGTTTTTTTCTTTAAAAG